CAATCACCTGAGGAAGAGCTCCAGCTGAGAGTACAGGAACCGGATGAGGGAGCGGCGAGCTAGAATCTCAGCATGGCAGTCATTCAGGGCTAGTCCGCCCTCACTCATGTATTCGCCGTTGATACACTTTGTTCCCGTGGTAACACAGACCACCTGTGCCTCCTTCACATCACTTCCTGGATGGGGAAAATGAAAACCGTGGATGACAACATGTTGACGAAGACGTTCAAATGATTTCATTTTTAATTATTCATGTATTTCATGTATTTCCTAATAAACAGGCGGATCTGGGCTCATTCCTTCTGACAGAAATGATAGAGGTGGGTGTTTATGGTCAGGCGTTTGGATTCTAGTCATTTCTGGGTTCTTTACTGTCGTTAAAATTCTTGGCATTTCTTTTATTACTTTTTGGATTTGAGTTCTTATTAACAGTGTTCTGCTTCCTGGACATTTGGACCCGTGTTTGTACGTGCAAAACTCAGACCTGGGAGGAGTTTAGAGAAGCTATGGAGAAAGACTATCATTTGGTTTCAAAGCGATTTGGCAAACCAGCCATGGTCTCCGGAGGGGAAAGCAGCGCTAACAATGCTAGCGGTGGTTTTGGCGGGAGTAGGGACCTGCCATATTTAGGCAGAGGACCAGCAGCAGGGCTAGAGACAGAGACACCGAGTTAAACAGGTTTTACACCTGGTTTGACTCCCTTCACACCAGTCCCCTCCGTGTCCTCAACTCTCCACACGTCTCCAACCCTGAGCCGAGCAGCTCCACCGCAGCTGATGTTAGCACTGCGCTGGTTATGGAAGACACCACATGGTTTCCTGAATATAACAGCGGCCATGTTGACCTTATTTAGTGCCTGGAATGATTGCTTAATATTTAGTTCATCTCCAGCTTCCCAGACCCTCTGCTTTGGATCTGCCGTTACCCCTGACAACCCCATGTCATTTCCTGTCAGCATTTCACAATAAAAGCACAGGTGAACCTTAACATCTGCTGGTAAATTGTTATCTCTGAACAACTTTTGAATCTCCATGGGGAGACCATCAGTTTTTGGGAAAAAGATGCACTTTGGTTCATCCAGACGCAGCTCTGAATCAGCGGGACTTCCTGGTTGATCTTCCCCCCCTGAGAAAGCCCAGATGCTGGGCAGCAGACAGTGACAGACCCAGCTCTGTGCTGGAGGTGAAGGAGGATGATGAACGGTTCTTCTAGGACTAAATTAAAACAGACCTCTGCAGGGCATTCCTTATCTCTACCTTAACTAACGTTAATTTCTCTTTAGCTTCACCGTGCGCACCTTGTTTGGTCTGAATGCACCTTTGCACCGTGTTAAATACCCAGTAAACAAAAAGAAAAAAATCTAATTCAAGATTATTTCTTTTGGTCTCTTTGGCTGCAAAAATTAGTTACTTTATTTTACAACTCCACCAGAATGAGGTTCTCCTAACCCTGCTGAGAAAAAAACAACAATACTGTGGATTACCTGTTGTCATGACGACACCTGCCAAAACTTTTCTTTGAGCATGCGGAGAGGAGAAGTTGTCGGTCAGTTGGCCGAACTTTTCCACAACCAAACGAGAGACGGCGTCGGCCAGAACCTGGCGACGGAATCAGAAACAAAGCTTCCAGAGCATCAGAGCCGTTAGCATGTAGCGTCTCATCAGGTCGACAGAAAGTGAAATAAAATGCTAAACCTTCTGCTCATCTGCCTGGAATTCGGATGCGAACTCTGGTGTAAACGACGCAGAGAGTTCGGAGAGGCACTTTAATGTGGAACAGCTTTAAGAAAGCACTCAGCGATGGTGGGGAGGCTAATTAAAATTGCATCTTAGCTACCAGTGTGCAGAGACTTCAGTTTATGTAAAAATAGATTTCCACTATGCTAAACATCTCCACTGAAAAATATAAATCCCACATGACTGAGATGCATCGCATTTGAAAGCTGAGAAATTCTACTTTCTGGAGATAAAGGTGCAAAATCTTTTACTTTTACACGACTTAAGCTACATGGCTTCAAACAGGTCCAAAATAATATTTGTTTCTCTGGCATAAAATTTTAAATCAGTGTAATGTAATTAATTAATATCCTGTATTTTTTGTATACTTCATACTTGACCTCTCCAACTCCGTTAGCTTTCTGTTCGTGTTGCAGAAAACAGCTGAGTAAAAATTTAGATCTTTAGTCATAAACTTTGTCAAAATGTGACAATTTATCCAAATAGGACCAAAAGTGGATTATTCCAATTTTATGACTAATTTGACAATAAAATCAAATTTCTACATAGAGCTTTACGCAAACCTTCATTTAAGCACTTCCTGTTATAATTAAAAAATAAATTTTTAGCCTTCAAAATGTTGCTAATAACACGTATTAGAGCCAGGCTAGAGAGTTGTTTCTTATTTCGAGAGTAAAGCCATAATATTATGAGAATAAAGTTGTAACATTACGAGAATAAAGTCATAAAATTACGAGAATAAAGTTGTAA